GACGGCCGTGGAGTCCCTAGCGCCGCGGGGTCTCGGAGCCCCCGCCCGTCTGCAGCCGTAGTGGTATTCAGGCCGAACAACTTTCCTGGGCCGGCGACGGAAAGCCCTTGGACCAGGGGATTCACAGAGACTTGGTGGACCCCTGAAGCGATCTTAAGAGCCGACTCCAAGGGGCTTGCTTGCCGGAGGGTGCTAGGGAATTGGGACCCAAGGGTCCCCAGAGGTAACACTCAATCCGGAGTCCCCACCTCCTGTGTCTTGGTGGCTGAGAGGGCCCTGCTGCCTGCAGTCACGAGTCACCTGAAGTGAGCGTGAACTTTCAAGTGTGGGCTGGCAGCCTGTGGTCGGGCAGTCCTTGGGGGCCCCCTGCCCTTTGGTACTTGTCCTGAGTGCGTGAAGCCCTAGACGGCTTCTGTGCCTTCTGCGATTGGTTGGAACCCGCTCCCATTTAGCAAGGTCACGTGGCCCCGCGGACACTTAGTAACGTAGTAGCAGCTGGAGAAGGGTTATCTCTGAGGGAAAGTAGAAGGCTGGGCAGGCTCTGGCAGGCCCTTCCCTGGGATACTTTCTCCTGCATGGACTGAAAAAGAAGTGTGTAGAGAAAATGGAGTGCGGTGTGTAAAGACCTAAGAACCCAGAAAAGTCCTGCTTACAATAATTTTTAGGCGCTAATGTTAATCATTACTGGAGGTAAATAAGACTAACTAGTATCTCAGGATATTGCCACGACTTGCAGTACATTTTTTGCAACATTTCTGAACACTAAGATGTACCAAAGACCATTAACTATCCAGGGATGTGACCCCCCCCAATCACTTTTGCTTCATATTTTTGGAATTTAAGAAGTCATAGATTTTTATTAGAGATTAACATTTGCCTATACAAAGAGAGGGTTGGACCTAAAGTGTTGAAATGAGTTAAAGTCGCATGTTCCCTTGTCATTCATTGGTAGATGAGGACCCCTCTTTTTACTCACCTTGTGACATGTGAAGGAGGTAATCTGCCATAAACAGTGGAAGGGAGAAGCCCACACAAACCTGAATTTGTCAAAGGAAGGGAAATTTTCCCTTCTGAACTGGAGCACATTCTGGAGTTGGCTGAGGCAGGTATTGACCCCAGACAACCCAGTCTAAATCCCAAGACATGGGGTGAATTTCTGGCGTTGGTCTTCTGTGCTCACCCTTGCTCTTCCGTCCTCCTCTCCCCCAACAACACTCCCAGCCCAGCTCCAAAGCACTGTAGGACAGGACAGGTGTGCACGAGGACTTTGTCAAGAAACTTAGTAAAGGCTAACAAGAGAAGTTATAGGGGCTCTAGGACATTTGCCTCCAACCTAGGTACAGATTAAGATCTGGAGTACTGTATTGGTACTGTTTAAGGTCAACATGTAGAAGAACCAAAGTTTTGTGCGAGCTACTCAGAAATAGCTAACAACCAGCCAAAGAATACAAAAACAAACAAACAAACAAACAAAAACTTCTCTTTTTCTGGGGAGTGGGTTGATATAACAGGAAATGCTAACTGGTCCAAAGGTAGGAAACTGGCAGGCTAAAAGAAAAGACACCTGGGTGGTTTAATCCAGGTAATGTTGAGAGGAAATATGATGATGGTGGTAACCCTTATCTCTAAGCCCAAGAATGAGCATGTCTTTAATGGAAGGCAGGCGGCCCTCTAAGCCCCTTGAAAAAGAGTCAGCAGCCAAACTGCCACAGGCAGTGACATTTTCTCATCAGCTTTGTTCCCAGAATCTCCCTCTTGCCCACTTCATGTATCACTTACCCTTGGTGCTTGTCCTGTGTCATTTTGTTTCTTTGCCTTCATTCAAGTCTACGGAAAGCAGGTATAGAGGTCAACTTCCATGGTGCTGTCAGATGTGGAGGATCCAGTACAAAAAACTGCATAGTTAAGCAGTAAGCACCACTAGTAGAAGTGGGAACCTCCATCCTTAAAACAAATGCAGAACTGATCAGTATGTTTCTGCTTCTTATAAAATTGAGTAACAGTGTACTTGACTTCACTTAAGCAGTTTTCTAACCATTCTGGAAGAGATGAAATGTAGTTACAAGCTCCTTCTGTTGCAGGAGGGGTAGCAAACTAAGACAAAACTGAGACCATGCTATATATGTTATTCTTGCAGTGTCTAGCATGTATTCTCTTGCTTAATTGTTCACTGAAAGCATTAAAATAACAGCAGCCCCAAGTATAGCATGCACTATAGCGTGGCATAAGAGCAAGGGAACAGATAGTATGTAGCCATATGTTTGCAGGTTTCGATCCCAAAACAGTAAGGCCTGACACATAGTGCAGATATCGATAATTTTATAGCGAAGATCTGGACTATTTTCTGTTTCTCACAAATTGCAAATAACATCCTTCCCTAGGGAATAGTGAGCAAGCTAAGGCTGTCACCTACCTACTTCACATGACTGGCTTCATTCTGTGTACTGACCTTCCACTGGAAAGCCACCTCCACCTGCTAGCCCATGAGAAATGACATGACTTTCAGGATTATGACGGAGTCTGTAATGATGCTTATCACATATATATCTGCCTCATGACAACATCTCAGTGGGATAAGACAGTGGGCTAATTCATAGATTCAAAACTGCTTGGTTTGCTTCCTTCTAGTTTGAATTCATCTCAAAAGTGCATAGGTACAGTATGTCAGACTACTTTCAGGGCAAACAATCCAAAAACCCTTCTTTTGAGGTTCTGAGAAAGATGTACTTGTTGAATAGAAAACTAAGTGGCTCAGGGATAATATTGTCCAACCATAGAAGGGAAAATCTAAAGAATGATTTTTTTAATGTCTTAGAAGAATTCTAGGAGAATCTGATTTTGTAGCATAAAACTATCTCAATTGTAGTCTCCACATTTATCAATGTATATCAGTATCTCTTTCTTAAGCTCTGCTGTTGGCTTACAGTAAAAATGTTAGCCAGGAGTATTGGCACACTCCTGTAATCTCAGTTACTCAGCAGGTGAGGCAGGAAGATCCCAAGAGTTCAAGGCCAGTCTGGGCAACTTATAAGACCTTGTCTCAAAATAAAAAGGGCTAGAGATATAGCTTAGTGGTAGAGGTCCTGGATTCAGTCCCTGCTACAAACAAAACAAGAGACAAATCTCAAAACACTGTTAATAAAAATTAGTTAGACACATTTAACTATAGCAGCTGAATACAATGATGGCAAATAATACCTTAAACTTAGCCGGTGAAGTCT